CTTACAAAAAGTTTCTGATCGATAGGTTTTTCAATAAATGATAGATTTGATAAACCATCGGCATACAGTATTTCTTGTCATGGACTTGAATTGATAAATTTACAAAATAGTCCAAGTTTTATGGATGAGCGATTAGACTCTATCAAATCATCAAGTATTCATTGTTATAAGAACACGTATTTATATGAGTGACAAAATTCAAAATTTATTCGAATCGATGGAAGGTTGTTTTTCGAGTAGTGTCACAGATCCAAGAAATCGGGGATCTTAGAGATCTCCACGGAGATCTTCAATAGACTAACGACACTTGAATATAATACTGATTTCTCACATCCTAATCGTATTTTTCTTCCTATCAGAAACCCCTCAGGAGGCCCCCACATCTCTAAAAGAGATACCGTATCTCTTATCACGTCTCTGTAAGAGATGCCACATCTCCCACACCCACACCCACACCCACATTTATCATACAGGAACGCCACTAAGATTCCCATCACAGTATACTCTCTAACTGTTGATCGTTAATTATTAACGAAAACGATTGCAGAAGCTAAAAAGGAACAATGAAACTCAAACTACGTTTACTTAACCAATAATTTTATGTTCATCACTTCTTTTCATTTTCATTTTCTTCTCGACAAGAGCTGTTTTTAGTATATATTTATAACTGTATAGATGAAGACAAACTAGTTCTGCAAAATTTTCAATTTATTCAATTACAACTGCATAAACAATATTTACATGAAGTTTTTTACATTTTGATTCCATTTCAGTTGGTATTTAGCATACATCAGTTCAAAACTGTTGAATTGAATATAAAAATAAAAAATTCTGGTTACTCAATCTCTTATAGATCAGTTGGCTGAAGGCTAGATAAGCACGACTCATGTGCACATTTTTAGGCAATGTCTCATCTAAGACTACCATTAAAAAGCATTGAAAGAAATCTCACTTAGGTCCAGATGGTCTCCAAATGGTCAACAAATGTTCATATGTATTTCATTATAGGTTATCTCATAAACAAGTAGTGATAATGAACGGCTGATGTCAATAGCATATTGTACTACTTTTCACTAGAGCATAACTTGAGAGACTTGATTGAATATGATGTTGTGTGCATGTAGCATTAAAATAAAATCGGTTGGTATTCAGTTGATGGATTCCAAGTGACCGTGTCAGGGTTCATATATCATGATTAGTCATACTTCATTGTTTTAATAATGAACAGAACAGAAAAATAGATATAAAACATTAACTATTCTGTATAAATATTTTTTTTTAAATGACATCATGTGTTTTTGTAGAAAAAGTTTGTTCAAAAGTTTCGTTTGAAGAATAATGTTAGTACCATGAAAATTTTTAACAAAAGAAATATTTTGATTTTTTTTAAAGAAAAGTCTGAATTTCCACTTTATTGCAGTAAAAATATGTTCAATTAGTTAAGATAAAATGATTGTTCTCGAAATAGATTTCTTGAAAATTTCAACAAATATACAAGAGATAAGAATATATAATGTTTGACAAATTGTTAGGTATAAATTGTTTTTCTATTAAAATTAAATAATATATCAAAACCAACATGTAGTTTATTCTATGTTACTCTCCACATAAACTTTATTCGTTTTGAAACATCATGCTTGTTTCGTACTTTTTTTCTTTATTACTTTCTTATTATATTATGCTGAAAAACAAATGAAGATAAGGCATGTCTTTATCTTTTTTTTTATTTATAACTAGAAAAAGTGCATTTTCTTACCATCAAATAAAAGAAAACAAAACAGCCTCTTTTTTTACTTTTTTTTTTTCATAACAAAATTTACCAGACAAATCGGTGAATTTTAGATTCTATTATACTGGTTAGTTCTACTATATCTTCGATTTAATCATATTTGAAATAAGTAGAAAGACGAAAAGATTTTTATTTAACTAAGTTAAATTTCATTGCACTTTCATGTAATTTAGATATGAAAATGCAATGATGACAATTTTCAATAGACACTTAAAACATGCTGTTTTAGTTAAATTTAAAAATGGAACAAAATTAAATGATATTCGAACAGTTTTAGAAAATTTTTATAAATTAACAACAAAAATACGAATAACAAAAAAAATTTTTGAAAGTAATATAAATGGTAGTCATGAAAATAGTCGACATATTTATTTACCAGATATAGAACATCAAAAATTCGCAGAAAATGCAAGATAATGTTAGTACTATTGGATTGTTAAAAAATTATTTTTGCATATATTATTATTGATTAGATGTAAATGTAAGTGCAAGCATTCTTTTCATATATACCTACATTTTATTGTAGTTCATGTGGTGTTTGAGTGTAAATAGTCTTGTAGTGTACTCATTTGTTTTTATTTATTAACAAGAAATCACAAAATTCAATATCGAAAACAAGTAGAGTTGTTGTACTAAGAAATACATAGTCATTTCTGAGCATTCAATTGGATTAGCAAGCTAGTAAAGATAAACCTGTGTATAGTGTTTTTGTTTGAAACTCTTGATCTCGATTTTGATATGATAAGTGGGGCTCTCCTCAGTGTAACATTCATACCAATAAGCAAAAGCGCTTATTTCAATATCCTGTGTCAAGAAAACTTTCTGAAACAGAGGGTGCATTTTTTGGACATTTTCTTTAAAAATTGTTTTGTTGCGTATTCCTTCTTTTTCATCCCATTTGAGCTGACCAGAAAATATAGTTAGTTTAGGCACAAAGTTGTAAAGAATCGTTGCAAGTTCATTCAGTTCAACTGGAACCATACTAAAAACTGCAAGGCAGAGCGTTGTCACATTGGGAGTATGAGACAGAACAACGGCAAGTGAAGAGAAACACCTGCACTGTAGTCGAAGATACTTCAAATTTGAGTGTGAATGGATTGAAATTGGCGAAACTTGCATAGTATCAAAGTCAAAATAATGTATATTTTCAAACCATCGCAGGCCAGGACATGCATTGAAAATATGTTGGCAATCTTGTGCCTTATTTACATGCAACCGAAGCTTGCGAATAGAAGGCGATCCTGACCATGTATCTTTTAATATTATACTAGGTTGTTCGGCTGAGAATTCTCGAAGACGCTGAAAACCATTTGAGAATACACTATCCAATAAATTGTTGGCTGCTTCGTAGTATTCTTGCACAACATTAAAAAAATAGTTAGAATTCTATTCCTTTCCAAATAGAACATTTCGAAGCTATAAAACTTATGACTAACGTCAATTTCCAAAAGTGATGTAGTTCTCAGGCATATTAACTATATTAATATCTGTGAACTCTAACGGATCTAGATAACATTCGTAGATTTTATCGGACGCAGTTTTTCGAAAACAACAATTTTAAGGAGGGTAATTCAATTAGATCCGATGCCTTCTATCAAAAGTCGAGTAAAATAAACAATCGTTCTGACAACAATATCGTTTGTATTCATCTAATTCAAAATGTGGTTTTGAGTATTTTTTATGCAAAAATGAACAAGAAACGTAAGAGAGAAGCATGCCTTGCGAGAACTATAAAGGTCAAATGTAAGTAAATAGATTTTTTTGTTCTGTCTGAGTCAAATCAAATTCAAATCGACATTTCTTATTCGTTTCGTTCCTTTTTTTTACACATCCCGATACTAATGACCAGTAATGTATCTAACAAAAATCATGAGATTGATAATCATCTTTCTCTTACTTTCTAGGTTATATCTTGAAATAGTTAGACTTTCCAACATAGGAAAATGATGTGGACGAATACTATCGACTTGCTTCTTAGTGGAACTTTGTAGCCAAAGTGACCGTAGATTTATTAATGATGTAAAATCAACGTCGTTATCGTTCATAACAAGATCAATAATTCGAGTAGGATAATTTTGTAAGATAGTGATATCATCAACGACATTGGCTCTCACTGTGAGTTTCAAATTTATCATTGAACGAATAATCGAATCGATGTAATAATTTAGTCCAGAGAAGGCCGAAATAACACGCTGTGGTGTAAATAGAGTGAATATTTGTTCAAGTAATTCGACCGGCAAATGTTCGAATAATGTTGGTGATCGTTCGTCACACATAACAATGACTGTTTTTTTGATAAGATAACACTACTTTGTCTTCCAATGTATCCTGTGAGACTATATATTATGGCAAATAAATGATTATATCAGTTAAGAATAATGCGTCATGTATGACGTCAGAACGATAAAAGAACAAAGTTTCTGCTGCATATAATTGCATCTGAGAAAAGAGTGAAATTTTGCATTAGTAACTTATTGGATTTTCGTGGATGCGAATGCGCGTGTAGACATCGAGCAGTATTACATCTACACCCACACCTATCTTTTCCAAGAAGAATGTTGACACATATCAATAGAAAACGAAAACAATATGCATCATCCAATTTTTTATGTGTATCTTGATTTCCATTTGATGATAGCATCATGTCTTCAAGGCTGCGTCCATCATTTGAATTTGAAAATATCATATCCAATCCATACATAGTATAGAATCAGGTCTAGTCAAAGGACTAGCTAATTGGTATTGGCATTGGCGAACGAGATCATATATAATATGAATGGAAGTGAGAAAGAGCCTTTGAAGTTTAGATCATCTGTCTATCGTTTTTTCTCTCTTATATACATACACGCTCATTTGTGATATGAGAATAACGATGATTATGCTTCACAACAGTACGTTAGACCAGTTACTGTTCAGTAATTCTATGTTTCTTTCGTTTGTTTTTTTCTTTGTCTACGTGTCTCTGCCTCCTATTTTGTTTGCTCATGTTTTATTGCATATTTCAACAATTGACTGACTATATATGAGTGAGCGAGCATTTGCGAAAAAAAGATCATATTTAAGATTCTAAAATAATTTTGCTTTTATATATTATTAATAAATCTGTAAAGAGATTACTTGAAAGAAATAAAATCCATCAGATTCTCTAGTTCAAATAATCTTTGTCGATCAATGAATAAACAAAGGTGATGAATTAGTGCGATACTTCAAAATGTTGACGTCTATTTTGCATGTAAGAACGCCTATACAAAGTATATCACAAACGTTACATAACTAATAATATGTAGTTCAGAGAAAAACGCCTATATCTTACTGTTATTGATAGTCATAAGAATATTGACAGATATGTTTTTCATTAAAAAAATGTGACATCTTTATTATATTAATCTTCTTAGCACAAGAATGATATTAATTTTACTTTTCTCTCATGAATTCTACTGCTGTACGATAAGTAATCAAAATTTGTATGTATGTGTGAATTGGTAAAAATAGATCGATAAACTTATTCTGCATGAATAGCAAGTAGAAATAAAGAAAATATTTTATAAAATCTTGATTATTAAACTCAATATTAGACGAGTCTTTCAAGATTATTGTTAAAAAAAAAATAACTGACAGTATTTTATTTAATAAAGATATAGTCAAAACTCACACAGATAAATAAGATTCTCATTGATGAATGATGGTAGGAAGTGTCAATTTAATCTTTGTATTGTCATATCAAGATTTAAGAATATGATAATGAATCATTCTTATCATAAGTAATAAATGAGTATAACACTGCGACGAAGATTATATTTCAATTTTCTTTGAAAACGTTTTTATTTTATTTCGAGCTTTCGACAATTTTCAATTGAAATTGAAATATGATCTTCGTCGCAGTGTTATACTCATTTATTACTTATTTATTTCCACCTGCTCTAACACAAAATTACATTCTTATCATATACTATTGTTATAGTAGGTATTCGCTATGTTCAGTTCTTTTTCTCATCATTCATCTCTTTCTTTATCAATACTCTGAATAAAAATATTGACATAACCACTTCTACCACTTGCACGTATCATTGAAAATACTCTGATTTACTCAAAACTATAGTTGTACATTTTTTTTTCTTTTCTATACGAGATTAACCGTACACGTATAAGTAAATTGATTTAATGATCAAAACATTTCTGTATAGTTTAATTGAAAAATTTAATAGATGCTGAATCAGTATACATGAACAATCGGTAGTAGGAAAACTGGCACACTAATATGAAGTTTCGACAACGACATTGTCTTCGTTAGATACTGAACAACATGAAAAAAATGTATGAATGTTCTACATGAGTGTTTTTTCTTTCTTTCCTTCTCTGTATTTGATACTGGGACTGAGGACGAAGTCAAATAGTCGATTTCACTAAAAAGAAATCTTCGTTTGATTTTATTCGGTTTTGGTCTCTAATTCCTACCAATATCATCCTCTTATCGCTGCACTATCAGATTCAGAAGAGAAAAACGAAAGAGAGAATGGACCATGTTGTTTAATGTCTGATGAAGACAATATTGTTGTCGAAACGGCATTATTCTAAATAAAAAAAAAACAAACAAAAAGAGTGAAAACTATCAAATCAAGTCAAATAGTCTTCCTGTTAAATCGAAACGAGAACTTTTGTTATTTTTTTTTAAATTTGACATCAGAATCGCTTTTAATATTAGCTCATACTGAATTCTATTTCACGCAATCATAAATGATTCATAATACAAACATGTCAAAAAGTTGTCTGAGATAACTTTTAGATCATTTTCTTTGTTTTCAACTCAGAGATGCTCGCTGAGTCGGGTTGGACAGATCATTTAAGTAACCCCAATGCTGATCTGTGCCAATAATTGTGCATTCTCTCCATAAATCAATATGTGTGTTTTATTTTTTCCTCCTTTGATTGTCCTTTGTCTTCTATACACATCATCAACTCATCACATATTGTACACTTTAGATTGTTATCTTCCACTTCACAAGTAACTCATCAATCTTCTAGGTATGTGTGTTTCTTGCATGCACATATGAATATGTCTGTATAGTTACAAAAGAGGTTTTTCTTTCAAGATGTCGACACCATACAGCACATGTAGTCTATAGTCGTCGTCATTTTTCTTTCGTTCTCTTTCTTCCGTTTTCTTTGACTGTCGAAATAAACATTAAATATAATGGCACCCAATTGAATCTCATAAATTTGTTATTTTTGCCATATTAGAGAAAAAACAAACCATATTTTGCCCTTCTATCAATTTATTTTTTTTTGGTTATCAATATTTATTTAAAATTGAACTTGTTCTTCAGTAAGTATCAAATAGACATCAGTTTTTACTCGATTTTTATTGGTAAACTCATTCATTTAAATGAAAAACGATTTCATTTCAAACTAAATGAATTTTCTTCATTGTTACTACAGTCTACTAATGCTATCAAATTTTTACATGTTTGAATCCAAATTGTTTTCTATTATTTTTAACTATTTTGTTGAATCAAGTCTTAATTTAATCAAAAATTATTCATAGAAACTACCAAGATGTTGTAAAATGCTGAATACTTTATCATGATCTGCTAAGTTAATCATTACAATCTTCACTTACGTTTACCTTTTCTTCTGTAATTCATAAAGATCTTTCAGAACGTTCTTAAGCTCCAATAATAATTACTAGTTTCATAAAAGACTTGTGTATATTTTTAATCCACTTTACTTCTATAAGTCTTTCTTTGTTCAATATGATGATCAATTTTGGTTTTATGATTGTGTGTAATCGAAATAAGAATGATAATTACTAATATTTTCTACTTCATAACCTATAGAACGATCACTTTTGTATATTATAGACAATCCTTACATAGGCGAACTAAAGCTTTTATTTGTATCATTATGCAATAGAAAACTGAAACTCACAATAATGAGAATTACCCGATGGGTTGGGTTGAGCTACTCAATCTAATCCTATAAGTCATGAGCTGAATACCAAATTTAAACTTGTCTTAGAACTCACTCATTGATAGAGAAATGGGCTGAATTATCGGTAATCTAGACGACTTTGCACAACAAACAAGTTTTTTTTTAACATTCATAGTCTAAAGAATTTACTAAGTACTTGATGTATTTTGTTAAGAATTAAAAAAGATTTGATTCTTCTTTTTCAAAAAAAAATATTCTATATTTTAGATAATGTCGACGACATTTTGGGATCTCTGCTCCGATATTCTCCAGGAAATTTTTAGTTATTTTTCAATCGATCAAGTGTTTTATTCATTCTATCCTGATGTTTTTCCTAGTCTCAGTAATATTATTTATGAAAGTCGTATGAAATTTCCACTTTGTCTAACCAATGATGATATGTTAAATGCTACACTTTTTTCTCTTATCGATAAACATCAAATCATTGCTCTTCGTCTTACAGCAGTTCAAATCGGATTGATAGAATTCTTAGACATTCAATCAATTACATTGGTAGATGTTCGTATGAATATGACGCTTTTAACTGAACTCTCAGCATTACCTCTACTAAAACGTGTCATTTTGATTTATTCTCATAATGAATCAAAATTAAATGAAGCATTTTTATCATACATATTTTGTTTACCTTATCTGAAATACTTGGAATTAGATTTTCATGGTAGTTATTTAAATATACCACAGATATCCAAAAAACACGTGTGTTCAATTAAAGAACTTGTTTTACGTACACCTTGTTCATGGAACAATCTACAAGAACTAATCGGCCATTTGTTGCATCTACGTATTTTGCGTGTCATGATAAATGTTCATGGAAATGGAAACAATAATGTTCCGCATCAATTTGGACTTATTCCACCGATTATATCCAATGCGTCTTTTCCATCTATTGAAATTTTTGATCTCACCTGGTACACTATTGAAATGAAGAATATTCTTGCTTTCGTACGTCAAATGCCTAATTTAAAACAACTTTGTTTATCAGGTATTACAAATAAAAACGCTTTGCAGAGTAATATTTGGAAAGAACTATTGAACGTTGTATGTCCAAACTTGCAGTTACTCAATGTTAAAATGTTAATTTGGATTCAAGAAGGAGTAGAAGAAATTAAAAATAATTTTGATACAGATTTCTTTTTTAAACAGACTCAATTTTATTTAACATTCAGTAAACACGAACGGGAATTATTACAATTCAATGGCAAATTTAGACGTTAGATCTAACTACAAAGAATATTTTTCAATATAGAAAAACATTGTTGTAACTTTAAATACTTGTTTTATTTTTATTAATAAGTTTTGTTTGATTAAAAAAGAAAAAGAAATTAATAAGTAACCATATGATAATCGTAAGAAAAGTCTGTGTCTTGATAACTGTTAGCAAATATTACTACCTCGTATGCTTTATTTTCTACAATTATTTACAATCAATGAAGAATGACATAGCATAATATTAAAACAGAAACAATTTTTTTTCTTGCTCACATCGAATAAAATAGTTAAGCACATGCAATTTCTTGTTTTTTATATATATTAATAGGTTTATTTTTATTTTTTACTCTTGCTATTTTATTCGTGCTTTTTTGGTTTTCATTTAAATGCTAAGTAAAAATAAACAGCTTTTGTTAAGTAGAAGGACATAAATATTTAATTAAAACATTGAATTGTATTATTTATTGTATTAATAAAACATTTGTAGATTTTCGTGCTCGTTCTCATTTTCTTCTTTCATCCTATCAACAAATGCATATTCAAATCAATAATTACCGGATGAATTACATCGAATATTGATCAAAAATAAACTTTCTAATCATTTGCCTAGTATCGTTTCAGTTACATGATCAGCTTTGATCAAAAGTCATATCGATTAAATGTACTTTTCTTCGTACTACATATTGACAATTGTACATGACCGATATGATTTTTCGTCGGTTGCTTTAAATATGAATCATCAGCGAACGATGTTTAAATCAATCCAAAAGACATTTTCTTAGTGCAAAGTAAATGTTTTCATCATTAGTTAACTCTTGTACATCATTATATTTTCATGGCAACATGAAATAATCAACACGCTTAGGCGATGGTATTTTATTCGATCTTGAAAAACTATTCGAGACGATTATTTGTCATGATAAATCTCATTCTGTCAAGAAAGAAATTTTCATTATTTCTAACAGATCGATTGTACTCAATTGCCTAGAAAAAATAGTGTTGATTCTATGATAAATACTGAAGATCTTGTGAACAAAGCTGTTTAGCTTATGCATTTTTCATGAGATTCTGACAGTATGATCTTTGAACAGTGTTGAGGGCAACATATTTTCTTACATAATTTAGCATCATTTTGTAGCTTTCAATGAACTCTCTTTATCCCATAAAAATGCCGCTATTCTATTGGAATCAGATGTGGTCATAAGCACTATATCATGTTATTGTAAGCAGATATTTGCTGTAGGCAGACTGATTGATCAACGCGTTAAACGTAATTTGAAGCATCAACGAAAATTGTCCATGTAAACCGAGAGTGATATAGTGTTAAATGTGGAAGGAATAATATGTGGGTGGGTGTAATACATATCTCCAAGCCACGCAGTATATACTCACATCCACACCCTTTTTAAAACATGACTAATCTGTACAACTAATCTGATTGGAATTCGGTGACTCTTCTCTTGTTTGAATTATCATTTGATGTTTTGGAAGAGCTCCCGATATCAATTACTTTTTTTTTCAAAAAATATCTGGAAACGGACAAGCGCTTTTGAAACCAGAAGTTGTTCGATTAAAAAGTTTTTCAATAAGAAAAAGAACCATTACCAGCTATGGTTTTATTTATTATTTGGTGCTGATCTATGTAATTGATTTTTCAGAAGAAAATAACCTTGCAGTTATTCACCAAGTTGAATTGTTCAACATTTTTGAAACATATTTGTAATATCCTTGTTTTATATAGTCAACTTGAGATCATTCATATTAGTTTTCAATAGACTAATCCCATTTATCTATTGATTAGACTTAGTTCCTACAAAATGTGTACTGATATTTTAATTGATAATTTGTTTATTCCCAACGTGCAATATGTCAGCGCCCCTTAGCTATAAACAGAAAAGAATCCAGCCTTACATCTCTTAAATTGTTGGAGCTAGGGCAATTTCAGTACATGTAGAGTGATGTCATAATCCCGTTACACCGGGTATCTACCGCGAAACAGCAATTACCCCAAGGGTTATGACATCACTCTGTGTAATGGAAACTATATACTTTTTAAAGTTGAGCGTTTTGAGTGGTTTTGGTGTATTACCCCGGGGTAATGACGTCGTTACATCAAATCCACTCAAAACGCTCAACTTGTACGATATATAGTTTATGTAAGGGGTATTGAAGTCATTACTCCTGTTCGTGAATTATAGATCGGGAAAGTAAATACACTTGATTACTCTGCGGGTATTTTGACGGTTGGCTCTCGATACCCAGTGTAATGGTATTATGACATCTATGATTCCAGACTATGAAAAATAGGAACAATTTTTTGTACGATTCAATTCGATAAACTAACTTTGATAAATGCGTTCTTCTTCTTAGGATGAATATTCATTCTAATGAAGACCTAGTGATGCAGCCACCCTGGACTATTCATTCTTTGAAAAAAAACCAGTTATCATCTCATTTTGCAGAGTACCTTACAAGAACTACTCTACTATAGAATTATTTTCAATCTTTATCTCGAATGCTTGTATCAAAAAATCTAGAATACTTTGTTTTTTCGTCGTTGTTAAAATGATATCTTTTAAGTGAGAAAAATAATAATAAAACTTTATTAATACAATATTTTTGAATAAAATAAAATCACGCTCAAAAAAAAAAATAAGTCTTTATATAATTATTACATTGTTTCAATGAAAAAGTCAATGTCTCCTGAGAGGAATAGTATAATATTAAAATCGAGTGAATAGTGGAACTTCTCCAGCTAGTGGCACTGTTAATTGTGCAACACTATAACAGAAAGAAAGTTCGATAAGTGAATTTATTGCAATAGAAATCATATTCTTACCGTCTGGAAAAATAAATATACGTAGCAATCGCTAATCCACTCGTTATCAGCATACCAAAACCTAAACCTAAACCTAAACCCAACTTTTCAATGGTATTGACTAATGATGATGTAGAATTTTATAGTCATATGCGAACTATCAGGAATATTTTGAAAGATCTTATCGAAAAAAGAACCTACCATTGTTGCTATTTTATTGGTTATAGATCTCAAAAATAAAAGAATTACAGTCTATCATTGACTTTTGAAAAACGGTCTTCTTCGATGACGGAAATTCTTGAAAAGAAAGCCACATTAAAATTTATTTGGCAAATAAATAAAATTCTTCCATATTTATCTACTTCGAAGAGATGTAAATATTTATAATATATGAATTTGTTTTGAAAGACTAAAAAATGCTCATAATAGGGGTTACTTCATCATTCTCATAATCAAAGTGAGAACGAAAATATATGTAATTGGTCTCATATAAACTATGATCATGGTGAATAACTTTCTTCAAAAACAGTTTTATAACTACAATAAAACCGATATTTTACAATAAATGTTTCTTTAACAAACATTGACAATTCGTATTAAAATCAAATAAGAACAGGAATTAAAATGTTATGAAGTCGAATTGTTTTTGTCTGATATTTCGTTCGGATTGGCTATATTAACACTTAAAATAAATCCAAACATGAGAGCGGTAAATATACTTTCAAAAATACAGATACATTTACAAGTATCATATTTCTACGTGTAATAATCCATGATAATGTTTTTATGTTGTGCCACTTGTAAATCAATACTACTTTCTAATTGCATCATATCACATGTTCACCATTTAGAGAATACGCAACAGAAATGAGATTGCTTCGATTCCAGAAAAAAAAACGCGAACCAATCCCATCTTCGATAAACAATTTTATACCATATTCATATATAATTTTTTAACAAATGGACCCTGACTATTCATTATGTGTAATCTTATCTGCTCATAAATGAAATAAATCATATACAGATTTTTATTTCTTTGTCCCAACATTTACATATTTTCAAGAATTTACACCTGACTAATTTATTAAGAAGCTTGGTTTTTTTTCTTTTACCAGTCCGGCTTATTCTCGTATGACATTAATAAGAGTTTTGTACACTTGTTCATATCATTCATTTGAGTATGAATTTGAAAAAATAGACAATAGAATATAATAATCAGTCCTTGAGGTCGTCAATTGATCCTTTAATTTAGTATTCTTCATCGGACGAAAAATAAGATTCTTTCTTCAACATTTAAGCCCATATACTAAATGATCGTTATTTAATGTTAAACCAAATCTGAATTCTTGTCCTTAACGACAAACTTGAAATAACACTTACTATTTTCATAGAATTATGTAACACAAAACTAATCATTAAAAAGAAATTTTTATTATAATTCATGTGAGTTTGAAATTTACATTTAAGGAAACCCTCGCCCACCATTCGATGCTGCTCGAGAATGACTTGACAAAACTTTTCAAAACTTTCACGGTAGATAGATACATTATTAAGATAATCGAAAGAGAAGCCGGAAGAAAACAGTAATGTCAAACGTGGAAGTTGAAATCAATTATTGAAAAGCTCTTTTAACTATTCAATTACTGCATAGTTGAAGTTGAAATATTCAACCATTCTGCAATTATATGTATGTTAATTTTTCGTTTAGTCCTTCGCAGTACCCACACTCCTTTTTGTCGAAGTAAACAATGTCTTCTGTCATTAGTAACCATTCGCTTATCTTTCTTTGCTTCATTTGAGATTGAAATATCAGTGCTGAGTCACTTGTTAATAAAATTCGAGAGTTTTTCGTCACGATAATAGTCATATATGATGACTACATACAATGAGAACTTGAATAGACTGGCGGTCTCGAAAGGTAAACTTGAAGATGAGGGTGTGAACATTATTCATTTTCCACACACACCTACATCCTGGAAAATACCGAAAATTCTCATTAGTCTACAAGGAAAATATGACGAACACTGCAGATGAAGCAGAGTCATTCATGTTGATATACATATTGAAGTCCAAACAGTGTTAAAGAAAAATGAAGAGTCTCAAAAAGTTTGAATGATCTTATAATTTTGGCCAAGTAAAAAGGTGGCATGCGAGGTAAACACTTGTTTGTTAGCAATTTGCAATATAATAATAAAGATAACGCGTATACTCCTGTAGATGACAGCTCTGCTCTACCAAACACACATGGAGTTCTCAAAAAAACGGCAAACGGTTGGGTGCGATGACAAATAGTGCGTCAAAACTAAGTGTTCTTATAATATTAGTCAGTACTGTATAAAAATTACACAAAATTGATTATTCACTGGCAGAAGAAAAAAAGAAGATTATATAAATGAGTAAACACATAATTTCTTTTCAAAAGTGCGAAAGAAGATATGATCGTTAATATTTACTGTGATTTCATCATTTTTTTGAATACTTGATAGTCATCCACGGTTACAAAATAGGCGTACAAATGTATACAATGAAATCAATAAGAGTATTGGACAGTATCACTAATGATTTGATATATAAAAAATGAAATCTACTGACTTTTTTTTTATCTTTGACATATTACATAAAAATGAGTTTTCGAAAGTATTTATGTTTGATTGACAAATAGATTTGTTCAGGATTGCACGAATTTCTTCTATTCGCTTTCAAAGATTTGTTATACAACAGTAAAATGATACATCATTTTAAATTGTATTGATTAAAAGTACTGATATTTCTCACCTTCTTAACTCTAGAGTTCAGTGCCTGTTGACCAGAATAGGCATTCATTATTATACTCTGCAAATTATTTTAATGCAAAGTGGTCCGAAAGAAAAGAATAGTGACAGCTGAGTGTATTCTTATCGTAGAATCAGGAAAAAACCCAGTATATTTGCACTAAAAATACAGCATGTAAACAATTATTTCTTCTTTAATATGCATTTTCCTTTCAACTACGTATTGGATAGATCGAAGTATTTAAAAAAATTTTAAGACAAATAATTTATTTCCTCACATTTTGAAAATTTTCATGAACACTCTGTTAGAAATACTTTAAACACATAAGTTAAATAAGCAAAATTTAAAATATCAATAATAAATGTTTTATTATTATTCATTTTATATTGTTACTAAATCAGCTTTGTTTTTATCACATATTTCTTCAACATTTTTTTTCAAACGAAATTCAAACACGTGTGCCAATATAAAAAACTACTCATCTTTATATACTTCATAACCTATTCTAATAATAGCACTATTCTATTCATGAGTTATTATTCTCTTGCATGCAGGAACAATTATAGAATTGGAAAAGGAAAAATGTAAGCAAGAAGGACTTTTTTTCATATTAAGCAAATGTGTGGGAAAAAACCCAGTGTATTCATAGTATAAATACAGTAGATAAATGATCGTTTCTTCTATAATATTCATTTTTTTTTCACTCTACAAAACCAAATTCAAATAAGTAAGTAGAAATTGTGTCTAAACTTTGTCGAACCCATCTGATAAATTTGAATTAAGATGTCATCCGATCAAGGATCATCATTTACAGCTGCTGATCAAACTGCAAACGACAATAAATCGAATCAGTGTAACCCAAACAATGCTGAATACAGTGGTCACCAATTGGGATACACAGGCACAGGCGATAAAGCTGATTTGGACAATCATGCAAATCAATTAAATCCAAACAATTCGAACTATCAATCAGGTGGTTCGAAATAACTGAAAAACACATATAAATATCGTATTTCTCATAATTAATTTCCATATATTGTAATTTATTCCTGCCTATTTCTTTAATAATAAACTAGCACCAACATCTTTGATGATTTTACACTCGGGTGCAATCAACTCCAACAAATCTAAATATGATATTATCCTCATCTAGAGCGTCTCTTAATTTTAAAGGTCCAATTGTTGACAATATTCAACTCAAAACGACAAATAAGCGTCTCAATTCATTAAAGCCATAAAGCTTCCATCTATGATAGTAGGTTCAAATATGAAAAATACCGGGGAAATAAAAAGAGAAGTGTTTGTCCCAAGTTCGTTTAGATCCCTTTAGCAATTCAATAAATTAGAAAAAAAAAACAAATAGAACTGAACAGAGGTTTACATCAATAGCAATATCATAGGGATAATAGCTATAGATATAGTCAACGATGTGCAATCTATTTTGTATTAAACGAGAAAGAAAGGAAAATAAGGCTTGCCGTTTCCATGCAATAAGTCGAAAAATTATTCGTTCATTCTATCTTCTATCTCCAACAACAGTTTGAGTATCGAAATGGAAATACCGAAGTCAAGACAGTTGTTCTTCGATTATCGTTTCGATTTGATTGCCTTGTGCAAATTAACTGTCATCACTAGTCCGATTTCCCACACTACACATATATCCACACCCTCTAATAAATATATATGGTTTTTTTTATTCAGATTAATGCCCAAATGACCACCAGGCAAGGATTGGTTTCAATAAATCAGGTTATAAACACATATATATGGAGAGGAGAAAGACATAGGCAGTTACTTCTCTCTTTAACGAGATGATGGGTGTGAAAATGAATAAAGCGGAGATTTATACTCCATACCCGCATCACATACCCACATGAATATATCTTTCAATCCAAAATGCTCATATTAAGACAGATTTTTTATTTTAATGAGAAGAATGAAGGCAAAAAAATCATTGATTGAGAAATTCAGCAATTTTTTTCAGCATGGTTCCAAGACGTTGGTCATTGTCTGCCGGCGGTATCTTCAGTCGATTCATGGTATAAGCAAAAGAGAAATTTTTAGAAGGTACACACAAACCGAGACTGCCACCAAAACCTATAATTAAACATATTTTGAATACTAATGAAATGTTGACATCTCTCTCGTTTCTCATTACCTCCATGTCCAAAAGTACCCGGTCCAAATTCTGGAAAATCGTCATGATATAAAACAAAGCCCATGCCAAACGAACTTTTTATTTGCAGCACTAAGTCAAGTTCGCCTTCAGGAGTATTCGATCGAGTAGCCAATTTGAGAGTATCTTCATTCAATATTCGTTTGTGTTTTCCGTCGTCTAAGTCACCGATTAATGCTGAATAGAATCTAGCGATAGACCAAGCAGTGGCAATTCCGTTTGCGGCGGGTATTTCTGCTCTATGTGTACGAGGATCATTGAATGAATCAACGAAGGTTATGAGTGATTCGTTGAAGTTTAGCTTTGAATTTTCACTGAGTTCAAGTGGCGATACTCGATATTCCTGATTTTCTGGAAGACCGATGAACAAATCGAGAATAATAGGATTCGATATCTCCTCTTGGATGAATCGACCCAGAGATCGTTTTTTTGGATCGACACGTCGAATGAGTTCTCCTGCAAGCCATCCATAGGTCAATGCATGATAGCCATGTGCTGATCCGGGTGACCACAATGGTGTCATTTGTTCTAATATATGAATCATTACTGTCCAATTCAAAAATTGTTCAAACGGTTCTGAAGTATCAGGCAATCCGGCTCGATGAGAAAGAATGTCGGCTACAGTAGTGTTTTCCTTTCCGTTTTGTCCATATTCAGGCCAGTAACGAGTTACCAAAGCCGAATAATCGAGAAGGCCACGTTGAACTGCAAGTGCAACAGCGGCAGCGACAAGACCTTTCGAGGTAGAGAAGACCAGTTGTAAAGTATCGACATCGTAAGGTTTTGTTCGCGACTGATCAAACCATCCGCCTCCTAATTCAAACGCCAATGCTCCCTGATAATAGCCCGCCACAGAAGCACCAAGATCTTGATCTTGTACAAAATTATCTCGAAACAGATCTCGAACAAACTCCCAACCAGGTTTGATAGTGCCACGAATATTGTAATCGATTGGCTCTGAACGAACCACTATTGAAAGGAGAAAAAGAAACCAAACAAAAGTAACCAAACGCATCATCCACTTTTGATTAAATGAATTACATTTTCATGGCGATGATAAAGATTAAGTCAAACAAATAGCAATAGTTGAGGATCATGAAAAAAAGACAATGATGAATACAAAAAATATTTTGTAGTTTTTTCTGCATGCTTTAAAAAACACATAGATTACTTCATCCACTTTCAAGGACAAAAAGCCTATTGGCAAATATCATTATTGAATAATACCAAAACTACGTCAAAAAAATGTTGCTATTCAGTCAGACGCATTTAAAAGAAAAATAAATTATTGATACCATTTACGAATATAAGGAGGATAATTATCACTCCATTTTGTCAATCGATTCTCATTTGATCAAAATCTATAATTCATTTCTCTGGCTTATTTTCAGCAGTTACATGTCGAATTAGTATATTAATAACTAGACAAATACTTTCTTATTTTTTGTGTAATGGCAGAAAATACTTCTTATTGTTTGCTGTGGTAAAATTAGCAACAGAAAAACAATGCAAAAAGGAAGGCAACTGTTTCAATAGCTGGATATTTGATGTTAGGTGGGTGAACGTGAACGTGAAGATTCAGATCGATAGGTGGCTGTGCGTCTATCCATTCATCTATCATCAAAATGTCGGCCGAACTTGTAACACTAAACACTGGTAAAAAATTGAAAATGGCTATTGCTCTCAAGGTGTAAATGACGATCCATCAAAAGCACTCCATTAATAAATCCTAATTTTGTCATTATGCAAAATTCCAAACTTTTTTTTGCAGAATGTCTTTATCTCTGATTCTACAAAAAATTACTTTGAATGAAGAATGTGATCAAATTCATGAATGCATATTCAGATGCATAATTTATTATTTTGTCTCTTGTCATTAATGAAATTGGATCTATAATATTTTTGTCTCCATTAAGTTGACAAGTTTTAGAACACACTTTTATTGTCCATTGCATTTTTTTTATCAGTTAAATGCAAATGAAATCGATCACATGTTTTTCAACCATGATTGTTCATTCTAAAGTCTATTCGAACCATCTCATTAAAGACATGTATTGGTGATTATTCATGAATTTCAATAAAATCTACTGTTAGTCTATTTATATCGTCTGATTCTTTCTCTTTTTTTTGTGATCTTTTTGTCATTCTTCATGTGGAGATGTCTTTCTTATTGCTCAGAACACCATCTCGCTACTATTGAAAGTAGTGCTAGAAAGAGAACACGAGTGATCAATAAAAGAATTCTTACTTTTGACGAATGAAGGACGGTAGAAAGTTGTTCTCATATCGTTTCTATATATGTGTGAGTGCATCCAGTAACCGAATGAACGCTGAAAAAAAAACGCAATGATATGTATTTTTTCTTCTCTGTTTTTTTCTACCATATATCTTCGAGAGTTTATTCTGAATGCATTTCATCATTGAAAGGCAACTCTTACAGCTTCTTATTGTTATCACAGATGCCGTTCACATCAGCCAATAAAAGAAAAGAAAATTTTTTGTTTGATCTCAGAATCATTGTCAATCATGAATGAATTGAGTATGGGCATTGGTTTTAGTATTGGTTGATGTATACCAGCTCAGATTCACACCCATACCCCTAAAAAGTAGAGATTTCTCTTACGACTAGGGTCTACTGGATACAAACTTTTTCGAACTCGGTTCTGGTTAACAGATAACTTTTAGACATCGACCCTATCCGAATCCGATCGGGCCCGGATTCAGGACCAATCCGATGAGCTCTGTCATATGCATCTTGAATGAGACACAAAGCAGTATAGCTAGAGAATAAATAAAAGCGAATACGAAGATAAATTACTATTCGAAGTGTTGGATTGGTTTTCTTATTTCAATCTTGGAAGCGATTTATTATGAAAGAACAAAAAAATAAAAGATTATGACAATCTCTTCGTATTTGTTATGTATAATATTAAACAAAAAAGTTCTTTTGTTGCATCGTCGAATAAATTCATGAAAATCCAAATATTTCGGCAACGCTTTGGTTATTTTTGCATCTAAAACAAAATCATTGATAAGAAAAAAAGACCAATATTCATGCATACCCATCTATAAATTGCTTCTTGCTTATTTTCTGTTTTGTATTGAGACTAAACATATTGAAGATCCCTACAGTAAGTAACTTCGAGTTCATATCTTTTTTTTCTTCAGGATCTAACAGTCTCAACTTGAAAAAAAATAAGATATTAGTATTCCATTGAGCATTTCAACAAAAACAGCAAAGGAGAAAACCTACCATTTTCTCTAAGAAGTCAACCATCTCGTCGTAACTAATATATCCGTCGCCTGATATATCCATCCTAAAGTTGAAAAAATGAACGCTTGAAAAATCACGTGTTTGAAGCGTTAGAAAAGAAGAGAGCAGTAGCCTTGTTTTTGAGAAAGAAATCTTTCATAATGAGAAAACACTTTTAGTGTTTCAGAAGTTTTTCACAGATTTTCTTGATCAGATGGCTTTTCTTTAGTCTCTTGATTGTGTCCAAACACTCGAAATTAAACTTACATTTCGAATCCAAGATCGAGTGTCGCATCCAGATCACGCTTTTTTAACATGGCGAAAGCTAATACAAATTCACTAAAAACAATTGAGCCATCATGATTTTGATCAAATACGGCAAACATATTACTGAAATAAGATAAGCAATTGCGATGAAATATGAGAAGTACAATGATATACTCGACAAAGCTGAGATCTTTCTCTTCGGAAACTAGGACTTTTTTGTGAAACTTGTAGAACTGCTCTTTGTTCATTGTGCCTGATGGACATTCGTGTTTGAAATCCTTGACATAAACGACATAACATTTACTAAAAGAAGCCTTTTGAAGATTTTTCTCTACATACACTATAAAATTTTCGTATTTCTAAATAAGACAAAGAAAAATTTTCACATTACGAATGCATCTCACTTCTACTGACCTGGTTCGCTAAGCTTGGTATTTGCTTTCAGTACGGTGATTTCTGACAAAAAATATTTTTTTGTTACATTAACCAAATCAATAAATAGAATAGCAAACCTTTATCAAGAAGTTCTCCTGATGTTTTCTTCTTAGATAATTCATTAGCCATGACTTTAGTGATTACAATTATTTCTTATGTAAAGGAAGTAAATATCTAAAAAACAAAAAACAATTTGAAAATAGGGATGAAAAAGTTGCAGTAAGGAGATGATCTAGTTTATTGGTACCAGTTGACCAGTGTGAAACTGGAACCGGTGTATACCTCATTGAAAAGAAACGAGGGATACATGCCTATTGTGACTGCTCTGCGATTTGGAGCATGTTGAATGTATTCTTGTTGTTGTATTCATCGTATTGTAAAGAATAATATCGATAAACAAACGGATGGTATTTATAGACAAAGGAAAAAGAGGAATGTCAATATAGTAGGACAGTTTTTCGTTAATGTGAAGACATGAAGCGAGAAAATGAATCATGCAATTGAAAAAGAAAGAGATGATACTCAGTCAGAAAATCGATAAAAAAATTCGTTTTTATGCTTTAAAATGTGCGTCTTTTTTGTTCTCAAAACGAATTGTTTTATCGAAACAAAAAGCGAACCTGAAGACGATGAAATCTATAAACTTGCCTTTGAAAAAAAAAAAAGTTTTTTTTTAATCTTGATTCATGAATAAAAAGACCAAATTTTAATGCGTTAAAATAAGACCTTATCTGCTCCGTAATGTCAGAACAAACAAACACCAGATTGTTCGAGCATCTGAACAATGTTTTTCTTCCTTCATTGATTCATATTTTCACTATAGCTCTCACTGGCAATAATTATAGTCAAATATTTATTTAAGAACATGTTGAAAAGAGAAATAATTGAAAAAATATTAAATACAAGGGTGTGGGCGTAACGCACTATATAGCAACACCCACACTCTCAAGGATGGCGTGGAAGTATTTTAGTGATCACGTATTGAAGCTTCTTCTATATCTTAGCAAAAACCACATCTCAAAATCATTCATCGTTCAATAAATATTGAAAGAGCACATACGAATCTATACATTGACGATGAATTTGAAACGACAAAGTCACTTTGAAGAAGAATAAAAATTGAAAAAAGTCGAAGTTATTTTTGACTCAAACTCTTTTTTGTTACAGAGCGAAAATGCCTCACTGAAATGAAACTCTGATAAATGAAGTATGTAGGAATGAAAGACAAAATAACAACTAAATCCTACTGTATGTTTCCTGTTCAGAGCAAAAGTGATATGTAAAATAAATGCGAGTTGGTCTTTCATTCTCTCCGTACGATTCCTTTTTGGTGAGAAGGTAAACTGCACTGTGTTTTTATTGTAAGTTTTTCGATCATACCCACTTACTTTCCTTTTTATGATTCCATTTCGGTAGTGTATTTTTCTCTCGACAGCTAAAAATGGCAAAAATAATTAAAAAAAATCCTACAAACAGAACGAAAGACATGGTTGCTTTCATTCTGAGAGCCATTTTTTTCTTCAAAAGGTAAGATGCGGTGGAATTTTGTTGCTAGTTTGTGTTTCGTTTTCATACACTCTATATGTTAGACTTTCATTTCAGTGATGCATTTTTTTCTCTGTGACCAAAGCATTTGGATCAGTGATAGAATTATGATGCGTGAAAACATTTTTACTCCCTAATGAATATCGATAAGTTCGTTTATTTTATTTCTATGACGAAAGATATTGATATATGTACGCTTTACAGATTTTGAAATACTCAACCATTACTCGGTTTGTGCATCTCTTTTTATCAGGTTCTATTGGTGAAAAAGGATGAGAAAATTCAGAAATCAATCTCGCATGATTCTAGAGTGCATTGAAAAAAGAATCACCATTCATTTGTACATTTTATAAAGTTACCACAGAGAAATTTTTATTCTACTACGAATAGTATTTTATGTTTTCCTCTTATATATTTGATTTTTAATTAGAGATATTGTAAATGAAAACCGCCCTCTATGAGCATTTTTGTGCATTGTCAACGTTGGTACTCTTTACAAAAAGAACACATCGTCTCGGAATGTACGAACTTTTCTCTTTCACTCTTCTTGCCAGTTGCTGAGGACAATGTCGAACTTCAGCATTGAAAGCTGAGCATAGACAAGATATTAAGTCGATTTCAACCCAACAATTCTTTCATTAGATCTATCTTGAATTACTCCTGTTGAAATGCCACAAGGACTTTTTTCTAAACTCATCCACTCTTTTTCATTGAGTGACAACGTCGAATATACTCTCAGGTGTGATTTATCATACTGACACAGACAAATTACGCATATATTCTCTGTTCATTTTATTCTCTTGCTATGAAATCGTAATTTCTATGAAAGTGAAGTTAGCGACTGATTCGAGTGTTTTTCAGAACTATTTGCCCAATCAAGTATGCCAGATAGAGCTCGACGAGTTCTATCGTTTCATATATTTAGATTTTAAGAAAAGATCAAAAACAACAGAATACAAACAAAAATATATTTTTCACCAGAACGAAAAATAAAAAAGATTCATATACCCTAAAATTATTCGATTCAGAATCGGTGCCACTTTCGAAATTTACATCATGTGACGCATCTCGATATGCTTTATAAGAAAAACTGAACACTAAAAGTTCTTCAAAACCTGAGATGTACGCCAGAATGGAATTTATTCTCCTTAAAGTTACACTACTAGATGTCGCGAGGACAAAACTTACATCATTCGATCCGTCTTAATTAGTTCTATTGATTAATAGATAATTTGTTCGGAATAATAATACGTTACGCATGCAAGGATCTTTAAGACCAATTAGGTATTAGATCTGCATCCCATGTTTCGTGTTCATTTTAACTTTACAATGTGTACCAATGATAAAATATATCTCAATCGATTAATATCACTTAGTTCCTTCAATTAGTGCATAATTTATTCAGAATGATTAAACTTTATCAAAGCTGGGATCTTTAAAACCGATTTGAGAAGACCAAGATTTAATATTCCATTTTCTGATTTACTTTACAAAGTGTGTCAACAACGAAATATACTTCAAGCGATTGGTATCAACTAGTTATGTCGACTGATGCATAATTTATTCGACATAGTTGCATTATATCAAAGCTAGAACTTGTAAAACCGATCAAGTGATGCTAATTAGTAATATTTCATTTGCCGATTCACTTTGCAATGTGTGCCAACGATGAAATATACTTGAATCAATTCGTATCCTTTAGTTCTGTCGATTGATGCATAATTTATTCCACGTAGTTGCACTTATGAAGGCTGCGACATATAAAATCGATCTGCTGTTGCTAATCTGTGATGTATCATTTTCACATTTGCTTCACAATGTGTGTCAACGATAAAGTATCCCTGAAGTAAGTCGATTGACACTAATTAGAGTGTGGGTGTGCGTGAGTGTCAGCGAAGAGAAGACTCAACTCACACCCACACCTCAAAATGAATGAATCATGATTTAAGATTTAACGCATCAAATGTAACTGGAACGGAATAACGCATAAAAATATTGAATAAATACATACATGGAAAAAAACTCGTAGTTCAAGAAAACCGGGTTTTTATAGTGACATTTAATATCAAAGTAGAATTCTTTCCTTGAAACATAGAAATAGTATGCAAATTCTTTTTTCTCTAACCAGTTAAACATAAAACGATTTCTAATTAGCTGTACGATGGGGATTCATTGCTAGAAATATATTTTGTTTACTATTTTGTTTCAGGATTTTCTAATATTCAAGTTTATTTTGCTTCTAAATATAGCCAATGGTTCTAAGATCATAATCTGCTTATTCAACAAGTGAATGAGATCAACTTATGATCATTTTGAGGAGCGCATTTCATTTGAGTGATAGTTCTGCAGCAAAATTATCATTATAAACATGGGTCAGCACTTCTAAGCTACTATTTATTTATATCAAAAAAGAATTTTTCATTGTACAATTTGTAGTTGAATCCACAGAGAATGTAATACTCAAAAGATTTTACGCCATTAATACAGTTCGATAGACAAGCTTCAACTTATTGATGAGAATATTTTCTCTAGAGACAATAGATGTAACGATTCAAAACAGATGTTGCCTTTTTTATAGCTTCAATCAAACGAGTGTCACATATTTATCACAATATAAAAGGACAAAACTAGCTAATAAAGAAGTGAACTTCGCATTATTTTCTTTCATTCACTACACAAACGAATAAGAACATAATCATGCAACTTTCGTTCGCATTGCTCTTGCTTTATGTTATCTTAACAGTTACGTTTAAAAGTACTGCTGATACAAATCTTCACTCCAATCCTTCGACGTGTACTTGCATGGAAGCTTGTGCTCCTTACGTTCGGGAAAAGTACGATGAGTGTGTGGAGTTTTGTTCATACAACACAGAGCCGATACCTCCGTGTATGTGTGATAAAAAATATACCAATGCTGAGTCTCGCACAATTTCATTCGATGCAGATGACGTAAGTATTATAATTTTTACAACAGGTTTAAATGAGACACTAACAGATAATAAGAAGCATTGCATTGTACAAGAAAATTCAGAATTTAAAAATTGTTCTCAATCAGTCTTTTAAGTTCTGTGTATTGTTCTATTCAAAATTCTTTTTTTTTATTCCTAGCTCATTGACACATACATGACAGAAGTGATTAAAAAAAGCAAGCTTGAAGCACCAAACTTCTATTAACTGAAAGTCTTCAATAGAGATGTATGCGAAAATTCTCGGCAATGGGTTTCTATGTAGTATAGGATCCCATTTCTTAGTGGATACAGGCGGGATAAATAGAAAATTCTACCCAATAGAAATTCTGTGTCTTCACTCAATTGAGTATTGATAGATAACATCTAATTTTTCAGATTGTCCATGCTAAAGAAAATTAAATCAATGACGATTTGTTATTTTTTTTGTTAACTGGAGTACCTAGGATATATTTCCTTGTCTGTTCACACGGTCTTCGATGTATACAAAGAATCGTACGATTTCTTGATGTACTAAACGTAAGCTTCTATATATATATATAACTTCGTAAAATTTTGTTTGTTTAATACTAGTGAGTTTTGTCCATTTGAATTAGTATCCTAATCATGTTTCACTTTGATCGCTATAATATATTCTTTTCACGCTTTTTTTTAGAATCTTAATGCTCCTAAAACCCGGGCTGATTGCGAAAAATCATGCGAGGCAACAAAGGGCTCAGACCGAGCATCGTTTGTTTGGACCTCAATGGCTTGCTTCTGTCGATGTCCAAATTATGATGAACTTATCGGTTACGGAATTTATTGATGTATTCAATCTAATTTTGACATATTTTGGATATTCATATATTCAATAAAACAAATATGCAGTGAACTCATGATTGATAATATGAGTGTGGGTGTGATAGTGACAGTAATAAAAGAAGTTCAAACTTCTAGATAACTAAAAAGGTCCCAAATGGTATCCTAAGTAACAATACTTAAATGCTAAATGAAATTATTTGAACATTCAATTGATTTAAACTTTCCGGGTGATAAAAATACTTGCTAAGTTTGATAATTAATATATATGTAAAATGCTTTTTTCATAAGTTAATGCATTGAAATCATAATTATCGACCGAACTTAATAATTTGTAGGAAGGACAATAGAGAATTATCTAAGATGCAAATTTTTAGATGATAGTATGGTGAGTGTATTTTCTCTTCCGCCAGTAGTAATGGAGAAAAACATTTTCTGGAAGTTTTGGACAAGAGTGGCTAAATGGTTGTGGGTATGAGTGTAGATATTCCTTCTTTACTCACACACCTACACCGAACCCCAAGGTATTTGATCCTGAATTAAACAGAACAAACCATTCCTACCATTATACATATATTCTGACAGTTTCCCTAAATATCTTCTACCAGATCCAAATGGCTGATTATTTTACATGATTCTTTCACTTACATATTCTTTCTTCTTTTCTATTTTGTTTCTTTTCTTTCCTTGTTTCAATATCGTTTGTTTAGTTCAATACTATCAATAACTATAGACAATTTGAACTCTTGACTTTTGAGGAGAAACATTTATTTAATGTATTTAATTATTCATTGATTTATCTTTTCTCTTTCTTTTATTATAGTGTTTTTATTTTTACATTTCTTTAGTGACGTTTCGTCAATGATGCTGATTTCATCAGACTCTTAGGTATAAAATGGCATAAATCCCACCCCATATTAGAAGACCCCCTTTAGCAAAAAGTTTGAAAGCCGTATTACAAGACCCGGATCTTCTTTTTTAAGAATAAATTTTCTTCTGTTATCCGAGTATGTTTAACAAAATTTCGTATATTAGTATTTTCTACTTGCGTTCTCTGAGGAAGATATTCTAGGCAAGGTAAAATGTCGGACGAAGAAACAGAACAATACGCATCACTTTCATTCATGAAAGAATAGAAAGAGAAATAAACATTATTGTTCTTTCTGACTGAAAGAACAAAAAGAGAAATAAATTACTTTCCTTGTTCTTTTTGACTGAAAGAAGAAGAAAAACTATAAATTGTATGTTTTTAATCATAAATAATAGCAAATAACATGTCGATGAACGACGGTGAAGTACATCTATTACCTTTAATTGATAATAATGATTTCGATAGTTCATCAAGTGAAACAGAAGATGATGATTCTATCGAAGTCTTGTCAAATGTGGATGAAGAAGAGAACAAAATTATTGATATAACAAAATATTTAACATTTAGCTCCAATGATGAATCGGAAATTGATAATAATGCTAATGATATTATATTACTTGATAATCATGTTGTTCAATGCTGTAACACTAATGATCGCATTCAAAGTTCTGCACTTGATGGTACATGTTTAGATTCTGGTTCTGATGTATCAGATGATGATGTAAATGAAAATCACTTATCCAATGAATGTACCACTAATTCAACATCATATTCATTACCAGTTGCAACTGACGTCAATGGATTTAATAATGATACGAAAAAAACTTCAAAACATAAACCTCGTCAGTGGTCGATTATTGAAAAGCTTAATCCTATTAATACTTTCAAATCTAATGGAAGTAAACATCGAACTACTGTTAAACATGGCTGTACAACAGCTCAATTACGAAAATGGTTTAAGTGTGAAAATGAATCAAATCGTCATCTAAATGCTGATGTTATGTGTGATTTACGTAAAAAACGAGTAGTAGTAGCTATTATACCAAGAGGTTGCACCATGTATATGCAGGTGCTTGATGTTTCTGTTTTTTCAGTTTTTAAGAATCATTACGACGATGTTGTCGAAGAATATATTGATCACAATGGACCAAGAAGTAAAATAAAACTTACAGCATCTCAATCACGTATTCTTTGCACCAGATTTACATGGTCTGCATGGTTACGAACATTAAAAAGCATCGATTTTGTTAAAGCATTTCAAGATATTGGTTATATCCGGTCAGATAATTCACCATTTTTTCTTCGTACAATGCCTGGCTACACATTTGATCCAAGTTCAGCTGACTGGGTATCGTCAATCAATGATGATAACGATATAGAAGATCGTATTGATATTGTCGCTGATAAAGCATCAGAACAACAACACACTCAGTCATTAGCAACACGATCAAAACAACTAACATTATTGAATATGTAGAAAAAATAAAATGTAGCAGTTTTTTGTATGTAATATTTATTTTGGGTGTAATATTTATACTATGTATGATATTTATTGTACGTGCAATATTTATTTTGTGTCTAATACTCATTTTGTGTGTAATATTTATTTTGTTCGTATATAACGAAAATAAAGTAAATTATCATAAAGCATGAAAACTAGAATTCGCTTTGTTTTCATACAAGATTCTAGCAACTGACGGTTTAGAAGACCCCCCTTAGCAAGTTGACATACAAGGACACATTAGAAGACGCTGGGTCTTTTATTACGGGGAGGGGTTTACAAGTTAAAATAGCATGTACATTTAAACACACAGATGCACTATCTATTTATTGATAGTTGAACAAACAAGACGTTGATACTGGACGAAGTTACGTTTTTTTAAATTTTTCCTTCATTTCTTCCACTATTAATAAATAGATAGTATATATGTGTGTGTATAAATGTATGTTATTTTACCTTGCATGCCATTTTATACCTAATAATATGATGAAGTCAACATTGATGACAAAACTTCATCAAATAAGAATAAAAATAAAAACATCGTAATAAAAGGAAGAGAAAAATTAAATTAATTAATATTTAAATGTATTAAATATATATTCTTCCGTCAAAGTCAAGGATTCAAAATCCCCTACGAAGAGAAAACCTATGTCATAACCGGAAGGTTGAAAAATATGCACCAAAAAGAAAGTGAAAATAAAACACTACATTAATTTTTCTCAAACAATGTAAAAGAGCTAGTCTTATCCCACCAGAACAGTTTTTTAAAAATAAAGAAATATAAAATAACCATAGCAATAAACAATCAGTAAACAAATTACTGACAAAAATAAGTGACAATACTTTAGAATGGAATTATAGGTGTAAAATATTTAATGATATTGAAAGGATAAAACAAAAAAGTGTATTAAAAATAGATATGAAGAATGTATATCCATCGAGAAACCACATAAAGGACCCAAAATGGATGAACTAATTCGACAAGAAAAAAAAACAACATTAACGATTTACAAAAAGAAAAATGACGGTACATGGGAAGAACATGCTAAAACAAAAAGGCATATCGAACGAAACTAATAAGTCAGAAATAAATTTAACAAATGTACAGATGAAAGTCTTGACAGAAGGATTAAAATTTGCCCCAACATTCATCAATATAATCAACGTTGTAACCGATACAGGAAAGCTATCAAGTAATGTGCCAGCATCTATAAAACAAGCAGCTGTGGCAGAAATAATTACATGTATGAACTAGTGGAAAAAACCAAACACAGACGACATGAGTAACGAAGAACGAATAGCTCTCAAAAAAATCAAATCTATGAAAGAAATAGTAATTGTCGAAGCGGAGAAAGGTGATAAAACAGTAATTTTAGATGAACAAGACTATATAACACAAAGAGAAGAAAAAATTAAACTACACAAACTTATATGAGCAAGTAGAGGACCCTAATGATATGGTTAATCAAAAAATAGCAGAAATAATGAACAAATTAACAAGCAACAAAACATATCAATAAAAACAAAACTTAAACTCATCTCTATAGACGATCTAGCGCGAATTAGAGGACAACCAAAATTGCATAAACCAAATAATCCAATGAGAATAATAACAAGGGTCAGATATACTATTACATCACCAATATCTAACTTAGCATCCTCGATTAGTAAACAATTGAGAGACACGATCAATAACATAATATACAACACAGCAGCTTCATTAAACAAAAATCACAAATAAAATTGGAAAAAGATTAATATTTAGTGAGCCTTGATATAGAAGATTTATTTAATAACATCCTTATTACCAAGGCAGTAGAAATTGAAATCAACAGAATAGATATGTCTGGGAAATTCCAATAGTCACTTTTGAAAAAAAACAGATGTAAAAAAATTCTTCTATTAGCATTAAACAAAAAATACTAAAAAATCAACTTTCTGGATACAAAAATTATCAGAAACAAGAAAGAGATCAACATTAGGTGGTTCCAAAAAGAAACGGCGGCGGCAGATAGACTACTCAATTTCCAATCCTGCCATGACAAATCAATAATCACCAATATTGCTAAATATATGATAAATCGAATGGTTGAAGTCAACAAAAGTAACCAGGAACAAAACCAAGATATAGATAGATTAAGTAAAATCTTGATCGATTCGGATTATCCACTATATGTGATACAAACAATAATAAATTATTTAATAAAAACAAAAACCTCGACAGAAAATAAATAATGAAGTAAAGACAAAAAGAAAAGTAAAAATGATAAAAACGAAGAAAATTGAAGAAAATCAACATAAAATTATTTTATTCTCATGTAAATAAATTAAAATTAGCATTGAATGGTAGTATAAAAAGAAGATCGAAATCACTAATGTACCAAATACAATCCAGCTGTGGGAAAAATCTACAATAGTGAAACAAAAATAGGTTCGGAAAAAAGAATAAAGCAACATGAAGATTTAATCAAGAAAAACGAAGAAAATTCGAATTCAGAAATAGTAAAGCATTATCAAGAGATGAAATATCAATATTCATTCAACACCAACCAAGCATTTATGATCGAAAATGAAATCAACTGAAGAAGGCAAAGAAAAATCAAAGGAACGATTGACTCACACATGAACCAATCCATTATGAAACGAGATAGCCTCTATAAAGAAGAGACACCATTATTGCAGATAGTGATATCTGTAATAAAGACAAGCATAGAACCAAAACGAATAATGTATTTTAACATATAAATACAAAAGAACGGACAGTGATAATAAAACGAACGCAGGAGAAATTGAAAAAAAAGTAACTTCGTTCGGTATCGCCGTCTTTTTCGTTCTACTATCAGTAAATAGATAGCATGTGTGTATAAATGTACATATTATATTATCTAGCATGCCATTTTATACCTAATAGTCTAATGAAGTCAATATCGTCGATGAAACGTCATCAAATAAAAATAAAAATAAAAACATCATAATAAAGGCAAGAGAAAAATTAAATTAATTAATAGTTAGATAAATTAAAAAATTTGAATTACTCAAATTTTTATGTAGATACAACTCAAACATTCATCTTTCTCACACAAATTTAAACGATTCAATAATTATAACTTACGCTTGATTTGCAAATCTTATCTATTTATTAGTAATGTTAATTTAATTGAAGCCGAAACATCAAAAAAAAACATCTACTAATTAATAAAAATTTTTTTGTAATCCTAACAATTGACAATGATTTTACAAACCGCTGCCATTTCCATTTATTTCTTTAAATTAAAACAAAAATAAAAATGAAAAATGTCGCAATTTTCCTTGATTCATTCGACATCTCACATGGCCAGCGCACATGCAAAGCAAATCGATGGATCATCACACGTTTTTCTCTTTCTCATCACGCACTCAATACGTAATTATATTTGCGCTTTTGATTGATGTAATTTGCATCGTTCTTGACAGGTTTTACTATTATCTATCTCATTCTTTGTCCATCTTGGTTTCTAATCATAGAAAAGAAATACATCATGTGCATCAAACGAGGGGGTCTTTATCTATTCTTCGACAAAAATAAGATGCTTCTATTATATTCCAGATTTTCTTTTGCTTGCGTCAATGTGTTGTGTGCATAGAGAAAGAACGACAAAAATGATCATTCGATTCTATCGATAATAAATAGGCTATGTGGAGAGTACACCAACGTTTTTATTATACAATCGTTTATCGCCTACATTGAAGACGAGAGTCGTATGAAAAAAAAACTAATTTTTCTGTTCTATGCGAGAAAAGGTATTGTCTTGCAGCTTGAGAGACATTTTTCTCGGGCTCCCTTCTAACTATTAAGCCATTTTCTCTTTGATTTTTGAAAAGACAATCTATGGCCATGCTTCAATAATTTATGAAGAGAGTGAGATAAAAATATATTCTCTCACTTTCTCTCTCACTCTTGGTAGTAAGCTACATAAAAACGAGTATATCACTGACCCTAGTGAAGGTACTCATAGGTGAGTACTCAAAAAGTACTCACGCTAGAAAATGTCACGAGTACTCATGAGTACTCACGCATTTTGAGTACTCATCAGTAGTACTCCTGCTAGAATCTGAGTATCTGAGTACGACAATCGAGTACTCGCTGTGTAATATTGAGTGTTTTGTGAGTACTACTATCTAGTATCTGTGTGCTCTGCTGACCTATGTAAGATACTTATAAGCATATTTTTGGTTAGTACCGTTGTACTACATTAATTTTTATTTAATATTAAAACACTACCAACAAACAGAGGACATAATGAAAGGTTGAGAAAAATGATTAACATGAGAACGACAAATTTGATATCAGTTTCATATATTTTAACGTAAAGATTACAGACACAGAAATCTTTATTAGGAGCGAAGAAATTTAAATATTTTCTGTATTTACATACCATAAAAATACAATTTTATTTATTCTTTTCATTTTTCTTTCGAAAAATAAATAAAAACGTACTTTCATTATATAAAATAAAGAAAAAAGAAATATTTAATTATCTTCTCTAACAATAAAAGTTTCTTTGTCTATATCCTAGAGAATGAGAGTACAATAAGACATAAATTAAGGACAGTAAAATACACTGAAGCAGAAAAATAATAAATTAATCAACGACGATGAGAAACGTGACAATAAATGAACGTACAGTATTGCTTATTACACTAGAAAACTAAACAGACATTTTTAAATCCATCGCTATTTACAATCATCAGGAAATTTACAAAAAAATAAATACAAAATAAAATTATTTGTCTATAGTTTATTAACACATCTTATTTTAAAATCGTGATCGATTTGTAACACAATTTGCGAACTGCCTTGTGTTCCATGATATTCTACAATCAATCTAAAAAAATTGCATTTTAATGAAAGAATTTTGGCCTAAGCTTAGGAAATAAAATAAAAACGAATCTACATTAATATATTTAGAAAAAACTTAATCTTTCCGAAGAATTGA